GGTGCCTGCCGCTGAGCTCGCACCCCCACAGCCCAGTGCTCTAATCAGGGACAACAGAAAAGCTCTCTCCACTATCAACGATCTCCCTGGAGGTCTGTTGGGACCTCAAAGCCACTCCCATCCACAGTTCACTCTTTTATTTAAGTCCATTACACAGAGCCACAGACTTGCCAAACAGCTTGTTACATAAGGGTTTCCCCTTTGTGGGACTCTGACCTGAGTGCACCGGGAGCTTCCCGAAGGCCGGCACGAGCAGGCAGATGCCTTCAGGCAAGGGGAGCTTTGGTCCCCACAAGGAACTTAACAATGTTCACAGCAACTCACAGCCATACAAGGCTCAGCTGGGCAACTTAGGACACACCTCTTAGCTTCCCTGGGCTTGCATTTCATACAGTTCAAGGCTCTTAAGTTTGGAAATGATCTCGAATTCCATCTAGTCCCCTTCTGATACCTAAAGTTGCTTTACAATGTTCTTCCCACCTGGCCCAGCCTCCTGTCACACACCTCCAGCGTCAGGGAACTCACTACCTCTCAAAGCAGGGACTTTTGGACAGAAGGTAAAAATGAACTCCATCTCTCCACAGTCCCTGGCTATAACCACCCATCCATGCATCCATTCAGTCTTTGAACATTTACCACAATGGCTGACAGGTGGTTGGCTGTCATGGATACACAGGTAAACCCAAGACATGGGTCAACTTACCAAGGAGCTCACCATTAGTAGATACGACAGATTTGTGTGTGGTGGGGGGGCTGTGATGTCTGTGAAAGCACCAAACTGGGGGATACAAAGTGCTCTGGGTACACCAGGGAAAGTGTCATCTACAAACTGCTGGGGACACAAGGGAGACGCTCAAAGGTCTCTTTCATGGGATCATCAAATGTCCAACAATACGGAATTCGTTTAACACACTCCGGTACAGCCGGCTAAGGACGTACTATGTATTCACTCAAAGTAGTGATGCGCATGTCTATTTCTTGACCAGGAGAGACAGTCACAGTCTAGTGCGAAAGGGGCAAAAACAGGTGATAAAGCTGTTGTGCCTGCTTTGGGAAACGGTTTGGCACTTCCTAGAAAATTTAAGCACAGAGGTAGCACGTGATCCAGCAATGCCACTCCTAGATAATTTCTCAAGAAAATTGAAAATGTGTTCATACAAAACTGGTAGTCAAAT